GGTCCTTCGAGGGTGGTGGGGCTGGCTTGGGCTGAGAGGATGCCAGACAAACATGGGGAGGAGGTCCATCTGGAGGCGAGGAATCTGGTGACAAGGATGGAGCCCCCTCTCTGCGGACAAAAGACTCAAAGAGGTCCATGTTTTTACCTTTCTCCGCAGAAAGAGGATTGCCCACCAACCGCAACTTAACCGAACCCTCCATAATATGAGTATCATCGAGGGACTCATACCTGAAAATCATCTCCTAAGGAATCTCGGATAGGTCTCGAATATGCAGCATGGATTTACACTCCTTGGCTTCCTTCTTGAGCATGACATCATCAGATACAGTAATGATGTCTCCAATATCACCTAGAATGGTGGAGATGAACTCCAGATCCCAAAGATGAATGGGGAGGCTGAGGATTTTGACCCAGGCATAGCAGAATTTGGGCAGGACTTTGAGACCAGACTTCTCCGACTATGGTGAGAAGACCCCACCAAAGCTACTCATACTAAAGAAGGGTTTAGAACATGCATAGTCTAGAGTCTCTGCATCCGAGAACCGAATGAAATAGGAAAGATCTGAGGATTGTCTAACAACATAAGACCATTTATCGACTTTGAGGTGGTACTCTAAGTTTTCTATGAGCTTTGCATAAGAGGGGTTCCCTACTTGGATCTGGAAATGAGCATAGCAAGAAAACTCCTCCATGATGGAGATAACAGAAGGGGGGAGAGACTTTGGGAAGGAAAAGAGGTGGGGGGGAGGTTTGGAGGTGATGCTGAGAAGGGGTGGTTGCTTTTTGTTAGGGCAGCAAACAGAGGTATGCCCTACCAGATTGCATGCAAAGCATTTGAAAGCACCTAAAGAATAGTTCTTTGCTATATGATCAGGATTACCACAAAGGAAACACCTTGGAATTTTAGGGGAAGGGCGGTGCGGGAGAGAAGAAGGTGTGGTCTAGGCCTTTTGAGACGCCTCTTGTACGACACCATGGTCCGGGCTGCTTCTGGGGTAAGGAGGATACCTTGATGACCTAGGGGGAAGACAAAGGAGGCTGAGGAGGCTTGGATCCCTTGAGGAGGTCAGCAAAGAATGGTTTAAAGATACGGAGGTGGTGGCCTAGAGGGTGAAAGGAGAAAGAGCAAGAGGGTTTGTGGGGTTTGGTGAACGATGGAAAGACTGATGAGGAAGCAAGGGGTGGAGGACACGGGGAGATGGCCGGCACTATAGACAGAGAAGACATGGGGGAGATGGTGATTTTACTGCCTATGAAGGAGACCACACGACGATTGGGAACTCAGGCCGCTGCCTGCACGTCCTTCACTCTGGATCGCGTCGTCTCGTCTCTCACGCCAAATCGCCTCGTCTGTCGCCACATCTGACGCTCCATCTTTTAAAAAAAATAAAAAAAATCTCAATTATGCCTTCACTTGTTTCTGACAGCATTTATTTGCCTAATTTTTAAATTTTATACTTAAATAATCTCAATTATGCAAATGTGAGAATTTCCTCCAAAAATTTTCATGTTCACAAGGTAATTTTAGAATGTATTAGCCCTTATTTTTTGTTTAAAACAAAAGTAATTCTATTTTAAGCTCATCCTAATTCTCTTTTAAAATAGAATTTTTATAGTTTTAAAATTAAATTTAACATAGTATACTAATAGTTAAATATTATTCTTAAATTAGTATGTGAGAGTCACATAAGAATTTTTGGGAAATTTATTATGTTCGCATAACTAAGGATATTTAAATGCAAATTTTAAAAACCTTATAGTATATAAGTGTTGCAAAAATAATTGAGAGTGTATAAATGCAAAGTTAAGATAACTATAAAATATTTAAGTCAATTAAGCCTTGTGTATTTTTTTATCTTATGACACTACTTTTATTGTTAAAGAAAGTCCAGAGGCAGTCGCTCAAAGCTCGTGCCCCTTCTCACTCGCCCTCTAATAGGGGCACGTAACCAAACATTTTCAATGGGTTACGGTAATCGCCAAAGAAGGTAACAATACCTTATAATTATTATTTTGTTTTATTATCTTTCCTAAATTTAAGTGATAGAAAAATAAAATTAAGGGTTACTTTCCAAAAACCTTCTTGAACTTTGAGCGTGTTGTGCTAAACCCTCTTGGGCAATTTTAATCCACTAAAGTCCCCTGAATTTTAAAGCTTATTGGACATAACCTCCCTAAAATTTTTGGGCAAATTACATTAAATCCCAAAGAGCTTTCATTGTTTTGCAATAAACCCCCAAAAAATTCTAGGACTACACTAAACCTCTAATAACTATTGGAATTGCAGAAAATTCCCAATAAGTTCACTTTTGCATATAACCCTCATGACAGAATAACTCCACATTTTGCGTTGGCGACACATTTTAGATACTAGATTTGGATTAACGCTGTCATGGGGTTACCTTTAAAATGCAAAAATTTATTCGGAGTTTTTTTTTACAATTCCAATAGTTATGGGTTTTTAGTGCAATTTTAGAAAGTTTGGGGGTTTACTGTAAAATATTAAAAGTTTTTAGGGGTTTAATGTAATTTACCCAAAAATGCTGTCATCCACGTCAAAATTTGTGCATTTATATGAAACTAGGTTTTATACACATGCAATGCACATGGTTAGATACCATGATTATTTTTTTTCCTAACTAAAGTTTGTTGCTCAGTTCCACTTTAATAGTTTGTGCATACTTTTGTCTCTAAAATTTAAAATTGCGATTATTTATTTTATTTGATATTTGTTTAAATGGGTAATGTCTAATTTAAATTTCATGTTGATATTTAAATTGATAAAAAAATAAATATAATGTGAAGCTAATTTAAAATTTTATATTATTTGGATTGATATAAAAGCAAGCTTTGCTTGAGAAAGTATAGTGTTGCGAAAGAAAAAAATATTGAAACAGTGTTATACAAGAAAAGTGAATATTTAAAACTAATAAGGCAATGTGATTTATTAAAAGTATGCTAAAACGATACAAAAGAGAATATAAAATTTATTCCTAATCATTAATAGACTTCATAAAAATTATAAACTAAATATTAATGTTAACTCTAGTATACTTTTATATGATAAAAGTATCCACATAAGTATATAAAAGTACTAAAAAAAGTTTATGAACCCTATTTCTAAAGATTCCTAGTTTCATTCAAAACAATTAAACTATTCTATAAAATATTCAGAAAATATTGTCTTTTATTCCTTCTATTTTATTTTTTTATTGAGCTAAGATCAATCCTGCTTCACTTTTATCTTTTTCCTAGGCAATTCTAAAATAGTGTCTTCATCATCTACATCGATTGTGACATCAGGCTGGAGTTGTATTTTTTGTACTATTATATTTCCTAGGCTCGTTATTCTTTGGTCTTCTCGTTTAACTTCACAAAGAAGTCGAGTGTATTTCTGATGTTCAACACAAACTTTTTGAAATATAGACTTTGATTTTTTTCCTATTTCAATGAGAATAAATTTTAACTTCATATATATAAAATTATTTATGTTTCAAATTATTTATGTTTCAAATGTTAAAAATTTTCAGGTGCATCATGGTAATCCCTTGAATTCATTTAGTTTGTTTGAAAATTTTGAAATTTTAGAATTTCAGTGTGCTTATTTGTAATTTAAACTTCTGATGGTGTTTCTATGATTTTTGAGACATTCAAGTGTTAACTGCAAATTTTAGATTCTTCATAGACTGCTATTAATTTCTTGATTAATGTTTGTTATTTTAAGTTTTGAAACGTTAAGATGTTTTTTATAATTTTAAACTTTTCAGGGTATTTTGTGCAATTTTAAAACTTGTTAGGTTTTTTTGCAATACTTCATGTATTATAGTATATTAGCTACATATAATTTCTTTATGTTAGCAAACTAATATCGTAAAGCTATTTTATATATTTTATTAATATTTTTAAAAATTGTTTATCTATATAGATAGTTCACATAAGATTAGGATATGATATAATTATAATTAGGATAGATTAAGATATAAATAAAATATTCAAAATAGTGAAGGATAATATTGATCATGAAAAGATTTTTCCGAACTCGTGCTTTTAAAATGAGTATGATATGATATGATATGATATGATATGATATAAACTTACTAACCATCGCACTGTCAATTACATATTTTATTAGTCAACAATAATATATCATTATCATGTATTGTTCCATTAAAAAGTCTGTTCAAAACGGTTCCTATGAACATAACTATGCTTTCCTTAATTTTGCCGATTACATTTTTGTGTATAGGGGCTGTTTGGTTCGCTTAAATAGCCTGTGGAAACACATTTCTGCGCCTGACACCACCGTCACCTCAGATTTTTTGTTTCCGCTCATTTCTTTTCCTTGCTTTGGTTCGCTGGGGTTGAAGGGAGAGAAACGGGGTGAAAACGCCGCCAACTCAGACTTTTTTCTCTCCCCGATTTCCTTCCCCAACCAAGAGAAATCGATGAAAAAACTGGCCAGCTCTGACAATCGCTCTCTCCTTTCTCTCCTTGATTTCTTTGGGACGCTGCAGTTACCTCCTTGCTCTCCTCCCGCCAGAAATCTCTCGTTGATTTCTCTCGTCGGCTTCGACGCTGAAATTGACTCCATCGCCTTTCTCTCCTCCATCAGATTCATCTCTGGAGTTCCGATGAGATGGGGACGCGGAGCAAGATCATAGGGGTGGCGGCGCTTTCAAAGTTTGAGGTTCGATCTGTTCGCCTTTCCTTTTCTAGGTTTCGATGAGGTTTTTTTCTCAGAAATTTGGGGGATTTTTGTTGTTTTTGGGCTCTCAAAGCTCTCAGCTTTCTCTCTCTCTCTCTCTCTAACTCCAATGGATCCCAAAGACACCACCAACAACAACAACAAGGCCTCGACCTCGTCGGAGCTCCAAATTGTCGCCGCCTCCGACGACCTCACCGCAAAACCCTAGCCCCCAAGCGGACCTTGAACAAAGATCGCCACACGAAGGTCGACGGCCTCAGATGGGGCTGTGATCGGGGTTCGGGTTGGGGGCGAGCTCGTCGAATCTGGGGTTTCACGGGTTGGAGATGGGCGGGGGAGGGCTGGGGGGATGAGCTTCACCTTGATGCTCGGGGGCAGCATGAGCAGATGCCCGGGTTGCAGCTGGGGCTCTCGCAGGATGGGCACATCGGGGTTTTGAACCCGCAGGCACTGAATCAGTTCTATCAGCAGATTGTTAGCTCAGGTTAGTTGTGCATAGACCCTTTGTAGTGTCTCGTCGTGCTACTTGTTGCCCCCATCTTAAATTGGTTATAGTTGTGATTATATGATTTTTGCAGGTGTAGATGGAAGGATAGAGATATTTGGATGGGGCACTATATAGCGTTTTATTCCTTTGAGGTGTGTAGATATTGTAAGAGTTAATTTTGTGCAATTTCTAATTAAATTTTGTTGGCATTGTGATTGGCTTGTTTTCTGAACATTGAAGCTTGTCATTTTTATTTATTTATAATGGTTTGAGTGCTTAATTTTGTCGAATGTTGCCTTTTTTACCAAGGGTTTGCAAAGAAAAGGATATATTTATAATTTATCTGTGATGCTTTAAGTTCTATGGTTTTACTCAATGTTCTTAGTAGTTTTTAATTATATCGCAGCTAGTAATGCGTTCATTGTGTTACGTGGATTAGTTATATTGCTTCTTTTGCGGTGTAACCGAATCAATATAGATTTTTGAAGGTGTATTCATTTTCTAACCCTGCACTGTGTGATTAGCTATTTAAGTTTCTAGCAATTTAGGACGTGTTACTCCTTGTAGGCTATAGGTTCTTACAACTGCATGTTTACGTGTTCTGTTTTTATTTTGTTTGACATAGAAATGATTTTGATATTATAACTCCATCTGCTTGCAACTCTGCATTAGATTGTTAGAGTGAAATGGACAATGAATTCACATCCAAAACAAGTGTGTAAAGTGTTTTTTTTTAACTTGTTGCAAGTGATATTGGTCTGCTGATTCCTTCAATCACTAGCAATTAAATTAAAGAATAATGACGAAATAGACACACTTAGAAATATTGAAGCATTCCTTCAACTTTGGAATGATCGGAACACATCACATGACGAAATAGACACACTTAGAAATATTGAAGCATTCCTTCAACTTTGGAATGATCGGAACACATCACCATAGCTTGACCGACTTTTCTGTACTTGAAGCATTCCTTCAACTTTGGAATGATCGGAACACATCACCATAGCTTGACCGACTTTTCTGTACACCCTGAAGAAAGTCGCGAGGACAAACAAAGGAAGAAGTAGTAATGCAGCAGAATCAGTTTCTTGATTCATTTCCTTAAGCTATGTGTGGAGGCCAGGTTGTGAATATTGGGCTTTAGTGAGACTGTGTGTGCGGGCTTTAGTGAGACTGTGTGTGCAGGCTTTGTGGCTGAATCAATTTTGTGTGCACACATTGTCCAAGTTGATGTTTGTGTTCATGGCCAAGTTTTGTGTGCACACATTGTCCAATTTGCTATTTGTGTTCATGGAAAGGATGTTGGAATCAATCGTGAGGAAGAAAGTTGAAACCATTGTAGCTCTTATATATGACAGAAAAAATACAAGCAGTTAGAAATAAAGCTGCTGCAACCCGTGATAAGTGCGTCAGTTTAATTAAAATTGTTTTGCTCCTAAATAATAATATTATTGAAGCTAACTGAGATGGAACCTTGTAATGTTCTTGCACGTAGGTATTTTGGACTGTCCTCGATGGGAGTAACATTTAAGTTTAAGTGCATCCTCATTTGGGAGCAGTGATCGGTATTGAGGCTTTGGTAGTTTAAGGGATGGTGAATCGTTCAAGGATATCTACAAAGATGATCACAAGTCAAATGATGACCGTTCCACCGAAAATGAAAGTGGATTGAAGAAGGGATCATCAGGTCGTACAAGGGTTGTCAGACACCTTCTTCTCTGCTTTGTTTATTTTTCTGTACATGCTTTCACAAACACGCTATTCGGATTGTTTAATGCTTCCCTGTAAAACTAGAAAAGATTAAGCAGACACATATTTCATATGTATATGTAAATATATATATACAAAGGTATTTATTTCCTGGTGTTTTATGATGCATTTATATATTGACCATCATTGATGTTTTTGTGAACTCGTGATTGTTCAAAACCCGCTGACAAGGGCAACCGATAAAAAGATATTATCTTGTTATATGTGGTTTGAGTTCATGCATAGCAAACTAAGAAGGACTCGCTATTCTTCATCCTTCAATTCCTCAAAAACAGCTAAGAAGCCTGCTCCAGTTCTATCTTCTAAGAGCCCGAGTACAAACAGAAATTTATAATTCATTCGGGATATTAATATTTGTTCATGTAACATACGAACTTTTTTATGATTAAGATTACCTCGAGCACAAATAAATTTGTATATAGTGGGGGTAATCTTACCATGATGATCATAAATACTTTTTCCTACAAACTTTAAAACCAACCAAACACAAGAAAAGTGGAAAATGTCAAATCAATAAAAGTTTTTCCTTTTTTTCTATGCGAACCAAACACAAGAAAAATAAATACATTGGTTTCCCACCATTTTTTATGTGCGAACCAAAGCGAAACAATCTATTTCTTTGAAAAGTTTGGAAAACTCAAAACTTGTGTTTCTTTACATGGAATTGCATTTCCCTATATCAAGGAAACGAACCAAACAGGCCCATATAATAAAAGTATATCAGAGTTATATAAAAAGATAAATCATGCTATACACATTAACCAATTCCAGATCTAAATCAAAACTGATTAACTGTTATTTATCAAATTGATATTTAGATTGTAGGTTTTGAAGTGTCAGGAAGCTCAAAACAGCTCCAGACATATAAGGTGATTTTCAAAATGATTTAAGGTTATGGCCTAATGTGATTTCAAAAGTGATCCCACGGTGCATTAGAATTGCTCTCGGTTATGGATTTCAAAGTGACCAAAAGTTTTGGAAAAAAGTACCTTCCAACTTCAAAGCTTTCAATCCAATGCTTACTTCGTTAAAATTGTTGTTGATTTATGGGAAAGCTACGATTTTTACTTTGAACTGTAATTCTTTTGTGACTTTATTTTTATGGTTATCTTGTTTTCTGATTTTAGATTTATTTTTATCTGATTTTAGTTTACTTATAGTCCTTCATTTCACATTTCTCATGAGCACTGCTAAATTAGACCCATTGTCTACATTTTCTCCTTTATGTGAAATTGCATTTATATTTTCTCGTCAGGTCTATTGTCGATCACAGAGTAGTCTATAATCAAAATAATATCGGATTGGGTAATTTCTTTATCTAAATTGTTTCAATTCTGACACTTGATAGCATTATATACTTCATTAGAGTTTTAAGAAATTTTCTTGTTTAAATTTAGACCCATAGTAGATTAGATGATAATATTAAATTTAAGTTATTTGATAATACTAGCAGTAGTACAAAACAGAACAGACTAAGCGGTTATCATAACCGTTTGGACAAGTCAAAATAGCCCAAACGGTTTAAACTGTTTGGGATAATAAATCCAAACATTCAAAACCGTTTGAGAGATTAAAAAATCCCGAACGATACACCCAAACGGTTTAAACCGTTTGGGAGTTTTGATTAGTTTTATAAAAAATTTAAAACTCTTTTTTCTCCGTTCTTCCTGTACTAACCGCATCCCCCCTCCTCCCACCCACCGCCACCCACTCACCGCTACCTCGCCTTTCCCCACCCCCCAAAAAAAAAAAAATCCCTAGCGCCGTAAGAAGCCCGTCTGACGCGGTGTCGAGAGATGCCCTAATCCCCCCTCCACCTCCTCGTCTATTCCCCGTCACAAGTCCGAACCGCCCCACGACCCGAACCCTAGGCGCGGGACAACGTACTCTCCGTCATCCACCCGGGGCTCCTCGCTTCCTCCGCCTGATCTCTGTCGAGGGGCTTCTCCTTCATCTTCCGTTGCGGGCCGATTGTACCCCCTCCACCTGCGACTCCATCATTCGCCAGGGCTCGTCGCTCTACGCCTCAGTCCCTCCCTCCGCAAACCACCCCGGTCCATCGTGGTCAGAGGTCTTCCTGCCAGATCTATTTCTCTTCTTCCTCCTCCACCGCCTCCACCACCTCCTCCTCAGGTCGCCCCCTTCTTCATTGTAAATTAGTATTATCTCCTCTCTACAAAACCCTAAACCTAATTTATTTGACCATCTAACCCAAATTTTCTTATTTACAGCAAATTAATCGACTTCCCAACGTCGCCTCTCTACAATGTGGAGCTGCATCGATCTCCACCACCTGCGATATCTCCTCCATCGGGTCGCTATCCACCCGATGAGAGCTGGGAAGCTTCAAGATAGAAGCCTCATCGAATGTGACGTCCCTACTCAGCACAATCTTCTTATCCACTGGATCCCAAAGCTTGTATCCCTTGACACCACGCTTGAATCCTACAAATATGGTCTTCCTAGCTCGAGGTTCTAATTTATCAGTTCTAACATGATAATATGCAGGGCACCCAAATACCTTGAGCTGGTCATAGTCGTGTGCTGGCTTTCCCGACCACATTTCCATAGGGGTCTTCCCCTCAATCGCAGATGAAGGCAGCCTATTAATGAGGTGGCTCGCATATGTAAGTGCCTCAGCCCAAAAGATCTTCTCCAAACCACTCTGCGACAATAAGCATCGGATCTTCTCCAGTAAAGACCGATTCAACCTCTCTGCCACCCCATTCTGCTGCGGTGTATGACTAACTGTGAAGTGTCTCTCTATGCCCTCGTCTCGACATAGCTGCTGAAAGGGGTCAGAAGTATACTCACCACCGTTGTCGGATCGCAACGTCTTGATCTTTCTCCCAGTCTGCAGTTCCAATCTCTTCTTCCACTCCACAAACAAATCTAGGACTTCACTCTTCTTCGTCATGGTGTACACCCAACAACGCCTAGAATAGTCATCTACAAAAGTGACGAACCAATGTCTACCACCAAATGATGCAGTCTTGGTGGGACCCCAAACGTCTGTGTGCACGTAGTTCAGGATGCCCCTCGTCTGATGAATGGTAGTCCCAAACTTCACCTTCGTCTTCTTGCCAAGAACACAGTGCTCACAGAACTCAATCTTTCCACTCTTGGCTCCCTTCAATAGCCCCTACTTGCACAATGCCTGCAGTGACTTTTCACCTGTGTGCCCCAATCTATAGTGCCAAAGTCTGCTCATGTCCGCTTCTGAAATAGCCGAAGCAACCTGGCCAATCTCGGTGCTTCCCTTCAGATAATACAAATTCCGATTGCGGACTCCCCTCATCACCACCAATGATCCCTTAGTAACCTTCGCTACAGCGTTTTCGAAAGTCACCTTGAATCCCTTCGCCTCCAAAGCTCCAACTGAGATAAGATTTTTCTTCAGTTGAGGAACAAATCTCACCTCCTTCAACTCACGGACTACTCCATCGTGCATCCTAATCCGCACGGTACCTATCCCACAAACGCCACAGGATTGATCATTTCCCATGACAACAACGCCCCCGTCGACTTTCTCAAAAGATGCAAACCAGTCTCGCCTAGGGGTCACATGAAAAGTAGCGCCGGAATCAAGCATCCAATCTGATGCATCCACATGGTTCACCTCCGGAGTAATCAGTAGAGAAAAGCACGAATCATCGGAATCATCGTCTTTCGTAATATTCACCTCATTGGCCTTCGGGCCCTTTTTCTTGCCATTCTCTTTCTCCTTGAGCTTCGGGCAGTCTCTCTTCCAATGTCCCTGCTCCTTGCAGAATGCACATTGGTTCTTTGTTAATTAGTGGTGGCCTCTAGACTTTGACCTCCCTCTGTTACCACCTTTCGGATATGGGCTTCTACCTCTTGTCGACAAGGCCTCTCCTGAAGTACTAGCGCGGGAAGTCTCCTTATCCTTCCTCCTCAAATCGTAGTTCGTCAAAGCGTTAGTCACTTCACTATAGCTGATAGAAGATCTCCCGTTCAACAAAGTGAGCACGAAGGTATCATACTCCTCATCCGGTAAGGAGCCCAACAAAATAATCGCCTTGTACTCATCCGATATCTTCTCATCAACATTCGCCAAGTCCGACAACAACTTCGTATAGTTGTTCACATGAGCCGCAAGCGAGGTGCCTCTGGACATCTGGAATCTGAATAACCTACGCAGCAAGTGCAATCGGTTCTCAACACTCTTCGTAAGGTACTTATTGTTGAGAATTTCCCACATCTTCATCGCAGACGTCACCCCAATCACATCATACTTCAGCTCCTGTTCCAAACAGGACCTGATCACCCCACAAGCGTTCCTATTCATTTTCTCCCATACCGCCTCTTCATATTTAGGTGGCCTCTCGTGGACCATGATGGTCTCTTCCAAATTCTGAGCATTTAACGCATCCTGTACGTCGCTCATCCACAAACCAAAGTTGATTTTTCCGTCATATTTCACCACACTAATTTTGGTGTTTTGAAAACCAACTTGTATTGTACCCGCCATCGATTTGCTGCTTTCACCTTCTTCTCCCATTGCGAACTAACTCCAAATTGTAGTAGAAAAAGAACAAATTTGATAGAATTAGGAACCACCCAACTGAACCCTAGATCGGATTCCAAATAGATCTCCTATCCACACGAGGAAAGCGAAATCTCCAACGGCAACTCCTAATGCTATCTCCACCGAAGCCGAGAACTCCAAGAACTAAGCTTCACACAAGAATCTTCCTCCACCAAAAAACCCTAGATCTGAAATCTGGGCTCTGATACCACTTGTTGCGCGCAGCGGAAATTTCGGCAGCACTTCGGCAGCACAACAAGAGAGTCAGATCGCAATAAGAATTCCCGTCTCACCAAGGAGACAAGAATCTGAAGCGGATATCTCAACCAAGTGAGATATCGGCTCTTCCTCTCATCAGTTTTAGGACTGACCTGTCGAGGGATCCTAAAAGCTATTACAAATCACACAAAAGCAGTACAACCAATTTTTACGTGGTTCGGCAATTTGCCTACGTCCACGGGGCAAGGAGGGGGGAGATCTACTAATAGAGGGAGAGATTACAACTAGGGTTTACACAAGAATCTCACAAATAAAACCCTCA